TCCCCTCTGTGTCATCCAACGCCATATTGCTTGAACCTCCTCCCTCTTCCTAGCCTCCTATCCTCCATCGAGGAAAGATTCGAGCCAGCCAGCGGCCGCGGTGAGAGACCACCCCCTGCGCACCCTCTATGGTGTCGAGAAAGTGCCACGCCTGCTATGCCCTGGACGACCGTCGTGCATGGCGGCCGCGGTGAGGGACCACCCCCTGCGCAGCCTTTATGGTGTCGAGAAAATGCCGCGCCTGCTATGCCCTGGACGATCGTCGTGCATAGCGGCCGCGGTGAGGGACCACCCCGGTGAGAGACCACCCCCTTGGCACCCCCTCTGGAGTCGAGAAAGTGCCACGCCTGCTAAGCCCTGCGACATTGGCGCGTATAGGGGCCGCGGTGAGAGACCACCCCTTGCGCACCCCGTCCGGTGTCGGGTGTCGAGAAAGTGCCACGCCTGCTAGGCCCTGCGACATTGGCGCGTATAGAGACCGCGGTGAGAGACCACCCCCTGCGCACCCCCTCCGGTGTCGAGAAAGTGCCACGCCTGCTAGGCCCTGCGACATTGGCGCGTATAGGGACCGCGGTGAGAGACCACCCCCTGCGCACCCCCTGCGGTGTCGAGAAAGTGCCACGCCTCTAGGCCCTGCGACATTGGCGCGTATAGGGACCGCGGTGAGAGACCACCCCCTGCGCACCCCCTGTGGTGTCGAGAAAGTGCCACGCCCGCTAGGCCCTGCGACATTGGCGCGTATAGAGACCGCGGTGAGAGACCACCCCCTGCGCACCCCAGGCCCTGCGACATTGGCGCGTATAGAGACCGCGGTGGGAAACCACCCCCTGCGCACCCCCTCCGGTGTCGAGAAAGTGCCACGCCTGCTAGGCATTGGCGCGTATAGAGACCGCGGTGAGAGACCACCCCCTGCGCACCCCCCGAGAAAGTGTGCCCCTGCGACATTGGCGCGTATAACCGGTGAGAGACCACCCCCTGCGCACCCTGGTGTCGAGAAAGTGCCACGCCTGCCCCGACCCCGCGGTGAGAGACCACCCCCTGCGCACCAGAAAGTGCCACGCCTGCTAGCCCTGCGACATTGGCGCGTATAGAGACCGCGGTGAGAGACCACCCCCTGCGCACCCTGCTGCCACGCCTGCTAGGCCAGACATTGGCGCGTATAGGGGACGCGGTGAGAGACAACCCCCTGCGCACCCCCTGTGGTGTCGAGAAAGTGCCACGCCTGCTAGGCCCCGCGACATTGGCGCGTATAGGGACCGCGGTGAGAGACCACCCCCTGCGCACGCTCTCCGGTGTCGAGAAAGTGCCACGCCTGCTAGGCCCTGCGACATTGGCGCGTATAGGGACCGCGGTGAGAGACCACCCCCTGCGCACCCCCTGGTGTCGAGAAAGTGCCACGCCTGCTAGGCCCTGCGACATTGGCTCGTGTAGGGACCGCGGTGAGAGACCACCCCCTGCGCACCCCCTCTGGTGTCGAGAAAGTGCCACGCCTGGTAGGCCTTGCGACATTGGTGCGTATAGGGGCCGCGGTGAGAGACCACCCCCTGCGCACCCCGTCCGGTGTCGAGAAAGTGCGCACGTGTCGAGAAAGTGCCACGCCTGCTAGGCCCTGCGACATGGCGCGTATAGAGACCGCGGTGAGAGACCACCCCCTGCGCACCCCTCCGGTGTCGAGAAAGTGCCACGCCTGCTAGGCCCTGCGACATTGGCGCGTATAGGGACCGCGGTGAGAGACCACCCCCTGCGCACCCCCTCCGGTGTCGAGAAAGTGCCACGCTGCTAGGCCCTGCGACATTGGCGCGTATAGGGACCGCGGTGAGAGACCACCCCCTGCGCACCCCCTCCGGTGTCGAGAAAGTGCCACGCCTGCTAGGCCCTGCGACATTGGCGCGTATAGAGACCGCGGTGAGAGACCACCCCCTGCGCACCCCCTCCGGTGTCGAGAAAGTGCCACGCCTGCTAGGCCCTGCGACATTGGCGCGTATAGGGACCGCGGTGAGAGACCACCCCCCTGCGCACGCCCTCCGGTGTCGAGAAAGTGCCACGCCTGCTAGGCCCTGCGACATTGGCGCGTATAGGGACCGCGGTGAGAGACCCCCCCTGCGCACCCCCTCCGGTGTCGAGAAAGTGCGACATTGATAGAGTGACCACGCGCACCCCCTGCTACGCCTGCTAGGCCCTGCGACATTGGCGCGTATAGGGGCCGCGGTGAGAGACCACCCCCTGCGCACCCCCTCCGGTGTCGAGAAAGTGCCACGCCTGCTAGGCCCTGCGACATTGGCGCGTATAGAGACCGCGGTGAGAGACCACCCCATGCGCACCCCCTCCGGTGTCGAGGAAGTGCCACGCCTGCCGTGCCCTGCGCCATGGCCTGCATAGAGCCTCCTGCCATCCACTGCGAATCCTACACGCACGTCTTGTATATGTCATAGTATGTGTCTGTGTATGATGCGTGTGCGGCTATTTCGGGACGTGTCTCATGTGGGTGCCCATTATGTCGCGCACACGCCTCAATGGACGCTGCAGTGGTCACGCCAGGCGCGCACTAGCGTTGTATGGTGTGTGTGTGTTGTGTGCGAGTGTGTGCATGCGCGCGGCCGTAATGTAGACGCGTGTCTCATGTACTTGCCGTGCACGCGTTGAGCGCGGGTGAGGAGAGGAAGGAGGAGAGAGGAGATGAGGTGTGAGGTGAGGTGAGACGCGGGTGCGCCGCGGCAGGGAAGAAAACCAGAACCCCACGAAACATGTGGGGAACAACGTCTCCCGCTCGAGACTTCTTCACAATTTAGCCATGGCAGCCAGGACCCCAGCTCCCGCCTGAGACCTCCTCTCATTTTATTCAGGAATCGCGCTCTCGCTTGGGACTTCCTTGCAATTCATTCTGGAATTGCTCTCTCGGCGCTCTGGAATCGCGCTCTCGCTGGAGACACGCTTGCAATTTACTCAAGAATAGTTCCCTTGCCTTGGAATTTCCCGCGCCGCGCTCCCGCCACTCAGGCGTCGCGCTCCCGACACTCAGGCGTACAGGAGTCACGTTCACGCCTATGACTCCCTCACACATTATTTAGGAATCGGGGTTTCGCTGCCCTTCGTGGCCCCGTTGCAGCCCTTCGTGGCCCCCTCGCTGCCCGTCGTGGCCCCGTTGCAGCCCTTCGTTGCCCCCTCGCTGCGCTTCGTGGCCCCATTGCAGCCCTTCGTGGCCCCCTCGCTGCCCTTCGTGGCCCCGTTGCAGCCCCTCGTGGCCCCCTCGCTGCCCTTCGTGGCCTCGTTGCAGCCCTTCGTTGCCCCCTCGCTGCCCTTCGTGGCCCCGTTGCAGCCCTTCGTGGCCTCTCGCTGCCCTCTGTGGCCCCATATATGGCCATTCGTGGCCCCCTCGCTGCCCTTCGTGGCCCCGTTGCTGCCCTCAGTGGCCCCGTCCTTGCCCTCCGCGGCACAATATACGTATGCCCGTCATGGGGTGCTCTGGAGGCCATCTGTGCCTCCCCTAGGGATCCTTGCGACACCTCGGGCCAGGGGCACCTTTTTGGGCCAAGAAGGCCAGAGGATCTGGCTCCCTTTGCTGTATCCTCTTCTCGGTTTCGGGGATGGCTAACTTCGCTTGCGATGGACGGCGTCTTCTATCGGGGGCGGAAACGACGGGGGTGATGACTAAGGGGGGGTGGATATCATGGCGGGGGCCATGATATTTCCCCAGACTGTATGGCGCCTCTTCTTTTTTCATTGCGTCCCTGGCCCCCCCACTGGGCCGCGCACATGCCGCCAGTAATGATTTGCACCCCCCCCTCTTGGACATCCCCCTCTTGGCCGCTCCCGATCTTCTAGAGACTGAAGGTAGCTCCCCCAGGCCCCGGGACCGCCAGGCACCGGCCGAGGACGGCCCTGCGGAGCGGCTCTCGTGGGCCACGGGCCGAGATTGGCGTACTACGGGGGTCCATTTCGGCGGGTTGGGTACTTTTCTCTCCTGCCATGCTCCTCCCTTCCTTCTGCGCCATCCTCAGTGCTCGCGTCCCCGCCGCCTCCTCCTCCTCTTCCTCATCCTCCCCCTCCTCCTCCTCCTCCTCCTCCTCCTCTTCGTGCCTCTTCCATCTTTCTCTCATCGCCTCCTCTTCCTTATCAACCTCCTGCTCCTCAAGCCTCCACCCTCCCCCTCCCTCGTCCCTCCTCCTATTGCTTATACTCCCCTCCTCCCTGCCTATTCCTATTCCTGCTCCTATTCCTTCTTCTTCCCGCCTCTTCTTCCCTCCCCGCACAATGCGCATAGCGGTCACTTGCATTTGCTGGGCTCATGATGTGACTATTTGCTGATCCGCCGCGCCTCCTCATCCTTCTCTTTCGCGCCATTCTCCCACCGCCTCTTTCGTCTCCGTTTCCCCAATCAGTTCCCCATGTCTACTAGGTTGATCATCCGTCTGCTTCTCCCTCCTCCTCCTCTTCTCACCTCCTTCTCCTCCTACCTTTTCCCTCCCCATCCTGCTATTCACTCCTCCTTTTTCTCCTCCTCCTCCTGGTCGTCGTCCTCCTCCTGCCTTGCCTCATCATTTGGTGCGCTCCAGGAATGGCCCAACTTTTGAGGGATCGGAGGAGTTGCCATCTCTTTCCTGGCGGAAGGCGGTGGATTGCTGGATTTGGGCGAAAGTAAGGCGAGGGCGGCTTTGCCAGCAGAAGCAGTCGGAAGACCAGCAGAAGCCGGCGGAAATAAAGATGGCATTTGTTTTGTCAGATTCATGGCTTCCAGAACCAGCCGTGTATCTGGTTTCCTTCTGCGCCTCCTCTTTCCGCCCCCCTTCTCTCTCTCCTCGTAGCTAGTAAGTCACGGCAGCTTCAGGCTCGCCTTGTATGGAGTGTATAGCGCCCGATGGCCGCATATGAGCGTCGAAAGGGCGCCCAGTAGCGCCCGATGGCGCCATATGAGGGAGATGCATTACGTCCACGTTTTGCCAATGAAGACCCTAAGCTTCTGTGGGTCGCCTTCTGATCCTCCCCCTCCCTGCTGCCGCCAGGACGGGTGGCCATACGCGCTGCTGGCCGCGTGAGGCGCGCGGGGCGGTCGCATGTCGACCTCCGACGCCGCCAAGCAGCAAGACTCAGCGAATTCGTCTCGATGCAGGTGGCCGCTGTTGGCATCGCTTCTCTGCCCGAGCAGAGGGTTTCAAGCGCTTCTGCCCTGGCCGCCGACCTCTCGCACGCTCCGTTCCGCGGCGAGGGGTAAAGAAGCAGTGGTGAGGGTTTCTGAAAAACAGAGTAGCAGTGGTGAGGGGTGCAAACGCAACACAACACATAATACACGTACAGCGTAAACACATGCAACATGCAAGCATACAAAACGTAATAAACGTAAGTGCGAGGGGTAGAGCAATAACAACCAGCAGTAACATAACTTCTCTTCTGCATCGGCGTTGGGCATTTTCTTGTACGCCGATTCCTTGCATCGGCGTTGGGAGGTACACCCCGATTTCCTGCATCGGCGTTGAGCCGACCCGGGCATCCGCGGGGGCCTGTGAGGAATTACAGTGGGACCGAGGTACAAGATCGAGGTCGGTTCGGGGAAGAGAGTAGGGGAACAAAAAGTGACATAAACACAAAAACTCGGAGGTCCGCGCGGAGTTCTCGGATCGGCGCTGGGGCCCCGCGGCGGCGCCTCCGGCGCCGCCCCTGGCGCGCTCCGCGCGCAAGGGAGGGGGGTCCAGCGCCGATCCGAGAAATCCGCGCGGACCTCCGAGCTTTTATGTTTATGCCACTTTTTGTTCCCCTAGAGAGGACCCTCCTCTTCGTGGTCTTTGCTGGGTGTTCTTGTGCGCCCTGGGGATGGGGCACCCCTCGCTGCTCTGCGCATCTCAGCCCAGCGGAGGGTATGCCTGCGCTCGTGGACACGCTGACGTCGGGTATGGCCAGGACCCCAGGTAAGGGGAACCGGTTAGTGGTAGGGCCCCGGAGCCCTTGAATTGGCCAGAATCACTAAACCAGGTTTGCCGTAGCTGGTGTTCTTTCGTGTGACGGCAGTTCTGGTTAGTGGAACGGGGCGGGGGGGGTGTCTCCCGGTCCACATCATTAAACCAGGTCCCATTAAACCCAGTTTTGCCAACGCCCGATGACGACCCGCGATCCCGCCAATCTAAATCCCCAGGAAGGGGGTGGGGGCGGAATTGGATTCTTCGCGGGTGAAGCAGATGAGCTCACGAGGTCCCCCGAGGCTTCTGGAGGTCTCTGCAGGCCCCCAGATCCCCAGAGGCTGGCGGTGGCCTCCAGAGTCTCCCGCAAGCCCCACGAGGGCCCAAACCGCCGAACCAAGTAAGGCATGCAGCCTCGATCCTAACCTCGTCCTCGCCCTCCCCCTTCGCTCCATACTTGTTTGGGAAGAGCCGATGCCCTGAATCACATGTTCTCAGGGTGTTGACCAGACTGCGTGCAGTAGGTTCGCGTCGTGTCGACCAGTGGCGACCCCGCCGCTGGCGTGCAACTTTGAACGCCGCCAGCGCCCCATAATCGGTCGATGTTGAACGATCTGACACTTCGGAAACAGCCGATTTCCCAGGTTGAAGGATCCCCGCGGTGTCAGAAACCAACGCCGAAGTCGGCACGACAGAAATCTGCGGCGCACGCCCATTGAGTTCGTGTCCTTCATCTGCCCTTGTTGCCGCCCTCCTCCCCATCACTTCTCCTCGCATCCTTCTCATCCCTGGATTCACCCTTCCTCCCCATTTCCCCACTTTCCTTCTTCTCTTTCGACCTCGTCCGCAGGTACATTCAATCTTATTTTATACAACAGATGGAAAAGACAGCTTCTGGGGCGATGACGGCCGTCACAGGGGCGGTTTGGAGGAGGAGGCCAGTGGCGTCATGTTTCGCGCTGGTGGCGTCTGGAAGTGCTTGAGAATGGCCGAAGACAGGTAGGAGCAGCATGTTGACCACAGCCCGTGTGAACCATTGTGCCTGCCACCACGGCGCACGTGTACACCACAGCACAGCGCCTTTGTACACCACAGCAGTGGCGTGCACCACAGAGTCAGTGAGAGCACCACAGTGCCTGCGTGCACCACAGCGCTTGTGTGCACCATAGCGCCGTGTGCAGCACAGTACCTGTGTACACCAGAATGCCTGCGTGCACCACAGAGTCTGTATACACCACGGCGCCTGTGTGCAACACAGCAACCGTGTGCAACAGAGCACCATGCGTGCATTTGGAGTCTTAGACGGAATAGGTATGACAAACTGGAGCGCCTGTGAATTCCATAGGAACAACATATTTTATACAGGATTTGGACAGAAACCCTTCCTGAACTGGGAACGCCTCTGGAATCTACAAGTCCTCCCGAGGAGGAGGGGGAGGAGAAGGAGGAGGAGGAGGAGGAGAAAACGGACGAAGAAGTGGAGGAGGCGGAAGAGGAGGAGGAGGAGGAGGACGAAAGGAGAAGGGGAGGGAGAAGGAGAGGAGAAGGAGAGCAGAAGGAGGAGGAGGAGGAGGAGGAGGAGGAGGACGAGAATAAGGGTGAGGGAGAAGGGTGAGGGAGGAGGAGGAGGAGGAGGAGGAGGAGGGAGGAGGAGGGAGGAGGAGGAGGAAAGGAGAAGGAGGAGGAGGAGGAGGAGGAGGAGGAGGAGGAAGGCGAAGTGAATAACGTCGCATTCTACTATCAGCGCTACCCTTACGTGGTGTTTAGCTCACCTCAGCAGATCCTCACCGACGTGCTCCGTCTACTCGTCCTGCGCACGCAGGCATTGTGGTGTGCACCAGCGCTTTGTTGCACGCGGATGCTGTGGTGTACACAGGCGCCGTGGTATACGCAGTCGCTGCGGTGCACGCAGGCACTGTGGTGTACACTGGCGCTGCGTTTCAGACGGTCGCTGCGGTGTACACATTCGTTGTGGTGTACTCAGGCGATGTGGTGCACGCAAGCCCTGTGGTGTTCACGCGCGCTGCGTTGCACACGGCTGTTGCGCTATATACAGGCGTTGTGGTGTGCACGCGCGCTGTGGTGCACGCGAGCACTGGTGTACACGAGCGTTGTTGCGCGGATCGCCACCGACATGCTGCTCCTACCCGTCCTCGGTCGTTCTTAGGCATTCCTGGACGCCGCTGGCGTGGAACGTGACGTCACCTGGTGGGGGGCGGGGCCGGTTACGGCCGCTACAGTCGGGGCCCTGAAGAAGGAACCCTTTTCGTTGGGAAGGGGCTCCGCGTTCCTTAAGTGTTTCACAGCTTGCCTCAGGCTTCCCTTATGTCCTCGACAGGAAATCGAAGGTTAACTGTTGGAAAAGAAGGGCCTCTAGTTAGGGTTCCTTAGGTCAACGCCCCGACTGTATCTCGCTGATGTTTTACTTCAAAGTACAAGCATGCTCCGAGAGGCTTGCGCCGTTCCGCCGATCCCCCAGAAGGGGCGTGGAGTCCAAGGTTGAAGCGTCGTGGGTTTCTTCGGCAGTACGCGGGGATTCTTGTCGGCGCGTTGGGAGCTGCTTGGGGGTCTGGCGGAGCCTCTAGGATTACAAGCCTGGAACATATGCCTATCCCGATGCTGGGCACCTCCTCATCACGATGCCCTTAGGCGTTCCCTTATGTTTTGAGGGCGAATCCCTAAGATTGTCATCGCCTTTTGGCGTGTCAATCTTAAGGATAGGGATACGTTCGAGGCTGGTACAGTATGCGGGGATTCTTGTTGGCGCGTTGGGAGCTGCTTGGGGGTCTGGCGGAGCCTCTAAGGAGGCAGTTCTGAAGCGTGTTATGGGGGCCGCTTTGGGGGCCGTGTTTTGGGCCTCTCAGGGGCCTCTTGGGGCGCAGTTGGGTCTCATTTGGGCCGTTCGGCGGCTTGGGGGGCTTCTTGGGGCGGAAATATTGCATTTTCGGTTCGTGTCCTCTTCGGATTTGTCGGGGCCCTCTTGGGGCGATGTTTGGTTGTTTTGGCCGTACTGGGGCCCTCGTAGGTGCCTCTTGGGCATGATTGGGGCGGTCTACGGGGTCTCTTGGGCCGTCTTGGAGCGTCGGAAGCTCGAGAAGACGATAACCTCAGAGAAAATGAATAACCTAATGACAACCATGGATGTTTGCCTCCCGGGGCCCTCTTGGGAAGGCTCTCGGGGTGTCTTGACGGCGTCTTGGGCCGTCTTGGAGCCATCGTAGGCGTGTTGGACCAATCGTTCCGCGATTCGGGACGTCGGAGTTGGAAGCTTCATAGTCTCCCGGGGTGCGCTGACGAGCCAGAACATTTTCCCCCTCCCCTCCAACGTGAGTTTGGACCCTGGGGAGGGGGAGGGGGGGCGGGGACAGCCGACCCTTCCGCACGCGCTCTCGCTCCCGGCGAGCGGGGGTCGGCGGACTCTCAGTCCTTCCCCCTCGCCGTCTCCCTCCTCCTTCCACCTCGCTGGTCATGCCCATCCTCGTCCCCTACACCCCTTCTCCCCTCCCCCCTCCACGCCTCCTTCTGAGCCCCCCCTGGCTTCATAATCAATGGCTGAGTCCATATGGCTCGATCCGGCCCCATCTGGCCCTACGGCGCTGCGATGCCGACGCGCACTTAGCACGGAATCTTACGCACACAGGGCCATCTAAGGTCCTTCTGTGGAAACCCATGCCAAGGGAAACCCATGTCAAGAAACACCCTGCTTGCCTCCAGGGTGCCCTGGGTATCTTGGGTTTCGATGGTTTTGCTATGGACTAGGGGCCCACATGCGAACCCTACCCCTACCCCCCACGATTTCTGAGGGGGAGGGTGGGGTTCACTGCGCTCGGGAGCTCCCGAGCGAAGTGAACCCCACCCTCCCCCTCAGAAATCGTGGGGGGTAGGGGTAGGGTTCGCATGTGGCCCCCTAGTGGACGGCGTGTCGTTCCCACACCAAACATCGATGGACGTCCTGGAGTCTCAGGGTTGGGCTGCCTGTGGAAGGATGTTTGTGGTCGGGCCCCTGCTGGACAGCTCCGCGATGCCGCCTCGCACCTGGCACGCCATCGTGCGCACCTCTGGGAAGCCTGGACGGAGGGGCCCCAAGAGGTCCCAGGAGGCCCAGGGGGTCCCAAGGGGTCCCAAGGGGAGGGCCCAGGGGGACGAACGAACGAACGAACGACGACGAAAATAAAGTGTTCCGTGGCCCAGGGGAGCTGCAAAGGGCCATCGAACATCCCATGGCGTGTGCGCGGGCGAGGGGTGGCGAGGGGGGGGGGGGGCTCTAGCGGGAACACTGGGGAGGAGGAGGAGGAGGAGGAGGAGGAAGAAGGAGGAAGAGGAGGACGAGGATCACGCGAAGGAGG